CAACCGTTCTTCGACGCTTCACCTCAACCCACGTCTTGCTCGACTGCTTCCATGTTTCTTCTTTACGCCCAGGCTTGTGCGTGAAGCGAGAGCCGTTGAGGGTCTCGTTTGGGTGCGGGCGGCTTGTTCCGGCTGGCCGTCGTTCTTCTCTCCTCTCTTTGCTATCCCCTGGTTTTTTTTGTTCTCTTCGTCATCTGAATTCGCTTCGCCGTCTTGAAAATCAGAGGCTTCTTCAACTCGAAGGAGAATCCATCAGCTGATCTCCTCCTCCAGGCCGTGCAGCAGTCGCTCGTTTTCCGGCTTGCAATCCGCTTTCACTTGCCATTCGTTCCCCTTGTCTACTAGCTGCACTCGCCTAATATTAACGGGACATGCAATCACTCGTTTCTCGCTGATCCGACTTCGACATATACGTCTGTGTTTGGATTCCAGTACATGTGCTATTGATGCTTTTCTGAACCATCCTGATCGATTCGACGACCCGAAACAAGAATACCACCGCCCATCCTTAGGCTCCCCAGCAGCCATAGCGTACGCACCGGCCGATGGCGCCCAAGAAGCGAAGAGGTCGGAGGGCGGCACGCAGCAGAGGGCCACAAACGGCTGCTCGCCATGATTCAAGCAGTGGTGATGGCCGAAGCGACGACATCCCTACCAATATGACAGGACCGGAGGACGTCGGGCAGGAAACGGAAGAGACATGCGACGACAATGGCGCTGACCGAATAGACGACGAGGACGACTACGAAGTAGCCTCTCTTTACCCAGCCAGCCAGCTTGTCGGTGGTGCAAGAAGCACGTACAGATCAGGTGGTGGACATTTTGTGACAGGAGATCCGCGGGCGATGGCTTCAGACTTGTAAGTGGCCATTGCGCTTCTGTCCCCATACACACCATCATGACATAGCTGGGGCAAGCGATTTGGCCGGTTTTGACAATCTCCTCCACTCGACAGCGGCTAACTAGCATTCGAAGAGCATCAACTCGATCACTGTGGACCATGGACCTTGACTATCGTGAACTGCACGGCCGCAGGTACTGTCGCGACTACTACATGCCCAATGACGAACTCGAACAATTGCGTGCCACTCTGCTGCACCAGGTTTTCGTCCATATCCTCGACGGTGAACTGACCCTTGCCCCGCTTGATGAGCCGCCGTCTCATGTGCTTGATGTCGGCACGGGCACCGGCGAATGGGCCATTAGGATGGCCGAGATGTTCCCCGAGTGCGTGTTTTTCGAGATCGAGGATGCCGAAGACTGGGACAGGCCACCAGACCACTACGACATGATTCACATGCGCTGGCTAGCGGGATCGTTCCGAGACTGGCGGTTCGTTTACGACTGCGCTTACTATTCGCTAAAGCCCGGCGGCTGGATCGAGGTGCTGGACTTTGACGGCTGGGACGGGATGGTTTGTGTCGACCACTTCCCACCAGAATCTCCCATCCATCGGCTGTTCAAGGACATCCATAAAGCTGCGGAGCTATCCGGCCGAAAGCTGTCCATGGATCATCTGAATGCCCCCGACTTTATGGATGCTGGCTTTGTGGACATTAGAGTAATGGAGTACTCGCTTCCCCTGGTATTTGGCGAACCGTCCATCGACAAGCTTTGGTTGATGGCTCTAATAGACGGCATCGAGTCCTCAGCTTTGCGTCTGCTTACCGAACACATGGGATGGGACCCTGACGAATGCAAGGCCGTGTGCGAGCAGGTGGCTCGGGATATGGCCAATCTCACGAAACATCCATCAACCGCAAAGGACCTCGTGATCAAACTTCGAGTCGTGGTAGCGCGGAAACCTCTCGAGGCGCCTATATCGAATGATTCATGGCCGGCAGAAGGGCCTCCGAACATACGCGCTCGTAGGGAAGGGGGAAGTCCAAGGTCCGAGTCTGCACAAATCGAAGTGCCCATCGTTCATACCGAAGATATTGAGCCTGACGCTTCCGTCGATGCCTTATGATCATGGCACTTTACTTGTCGCAGAAAGGAGGGAGAGAGGTGGTGTGAGCGTCTCCTATCACTGAACAGGTAGGCGACAACGACATGATTGGTAAAATGACGAACTCTCATGAATACGACGAACTGGACAGCAAACTAGCAAGCGTTTTGGATAGTCGTTCCCATTTGCCGGGAGTCCTGTTTCGGTTGCTTCCTTTTCTTTTTCTCTTCACGCATCTTATGTATATGGATCGCATTTGAAGGATGGGTCTCGTTGATCCTCTATTTTTGGTTGTGCATCGTCGGAGGACAGGGCCTGTATATCGCGCCTTGGCCAGTACCGCGTAATTGTTTGGAGCCATTGTATATACAGGCGAGGAATCGGTGGACGAGGAGGTCGAGGGCTGAGGCTGTAGGTCATGAAAAACCCGCAGCCCATGAGGTACCATATTAGGTTGTTCTTGACAGTAATGGAACACACATGCCTCAACCATGCAACCTCCTCTTGCTAAATTAGATCAAAGGTAGATGAATAAACGAAACGGCAAGCAAAATGCCATGAACATGGAGGACATATCGTTCTGGTTGTCATCGTGTAGAGGCACTCACTTCAGCTGTTGTATCGTCTGAAGTCGAGGTAGCGCTGCACCTCTTTAACGTGGCGAGGTACCTCGGTAGCTCCCTTGCTCCACCGCCTTCTGCCGGCGAATCAGAGCTCCAAGGCCCTCGAGCTGCCCAAAGCTGGGCTTCGAACCGTCACTGACGCAGCCTCACCTCAGCCATCCAACTCTCTCCGCCATCAGCAGCCTCGACCTCTTGCCAACCTCCCCTCAGCCTTGCAGCCTGCCGACTCCCGACTCCCGGTCCGATCTGTGCTTGTGGAAGATAGCCTGCATTCGCCTTCATCTTCCGACCGCACAGACGAAGCTTTCGAAAGCATTCGTCACCGTTCCGGCCCCGCGCGAGCATGTCTGGTTGAGAAAGCCCACGCCATGTCGCTTGATCCC